ATTACATTAGACATGTCGACAGAGAAGGGAGATAATAAGATTGAGTTACAGAGTTTTAGATGCATTATGAACACCTCTTGCTTCCTTGATTCCTTCCATTTTCACTATACCTTCCATTTGTCAATTCCCCCACGCGTGCATGCTTGTTACTGTTTTTTTTTTTGTGCAAAATAATGCCGAAGAATAATTCAAACTGAACAAAGTTTTGTAGATTTCTATCTCTTCTTGTATCTACTTCTACTACATCACTTGAAACTTAACCACACCCAGAGCTCTTCATCGGTTTACATGAACCCATGGAAAGCTTAACCACTTTTTCAAGGTTCAGATGTTCATAAATGCCGAGCACAATTATCCTTTGCTGTAGGAAAAATATATATCAAATCAACAAAATGTGGGTTCTCAAAAAAAAACTGTAAAATTGTTACAATACAGATTAATTATTTTCAATCAGATACTTCATGGTATTTTAGCACTAGCATCAAATTAGCTATGTTCCATGAGTAAGTTCTATTTATATGATTTTAATCAAGATTGTGTGAGAAACTTTCAGTTTGAGTTGATATTGGCGCCCCCTTTGGACAAAACACTGCATCATCTTTTTGCTGATTTGTCCTGTACATGTGCACCGAGCCCCCGAAGGCTTAGGTAAGGAAAAAAACACTTTTAAAAAACTTGTCAACACATATTTAGCAACGGCTATTCATTTTATCTTAGATAAGAGCTAAGTACATGTGTTTTTGAAGATAAAAACAACAACTCCGCTTTCTTATAAGAGACAGACATATCACTCACTGAGAATATTTTGAAAATAGGTAGACCTGCCAACAGAAGCTGCTTCTACAGAACGCTGTTAATCACTTGGTCTGACACCTACCCGGCGCCAGTAGTTATAGGCATTAAAACCACTATTGAGAAATGATCAAATGTCCCTGATGGTCTTAAATATTATAAGGTAATATAGAGGCATCAGTATTCATTCCATTGTATTTAAAAAATAGCCAAAAACAGAGCAAATGCAACAGGTGGCAGGAAGCTAAAACGAGAGTGAAAAGTAGCTGGAAACTACAATCACATGTTAACAGTCAAGCACATTCATCTTGCAAATATCCTTTATTCAAAGAAGTTTATTTTGTTCTTCGTTTAATCTCTTCAGTCTACACCAGATTTATTTTTGGTGCACACAATCACCCACTCGTTCTTACATTAGCAAGATGGTAAATACATTTCCTTTTAGCAGTTGCCAAACCATGCAGACACATCTTCCAACTTTGTGTGTGTGTGTGTGTGTGTGTGTGTGTGTGTGTGTGTGTGTGTGTGTGTGTGTGTGTGTGTGTGTGTGTGTGTGTGTGTGCAGTTGTCCATGTAGATAGATGGTGATTGGCGTGTGGTTGAAAGTGGGTGGTGTAGAGTGATTAATCAGCGTAATGAGTGTAGATGAGCACTGTGCAGATGGAGCCCACACTCAGGACTGTGTCACCCAGCAGGAGGTCTCTTTGCTTCCCTTTGCTGCCTCTGTAAAGCACAAGTTATATTTCTCAGGCATGTCACTTGCTCTGGTGTTTGGCCCGCGCTCATTCCTGCATGATGTTGTTCACCCCTTATTTTAACATGGAAGTTGCCTAAGAACACGATCAGTGATATTTTCAAACAAGTTAAGATCAATCCGGTGTAAGTTCCTGTAGGTTTTTATTTTATTTTTTATTCTACCACAAAAATGTCTGAAGTCAAAGAACTTTTAAGTTGGTATAAAAACCTAGCCGCAAATTGGGCTGTCCATCAAACACAAACACCAGAAAAGAGTTTTCAGTTTCCTTTCATGAGAAGTAAAAGTCTAACAGCTGTGGGGCACAAGAAGTCTGATACAAGATCAGTCCCTTCGAAAAACAACATTCCAGGGGAAGAGATAATAAAAAAGCAGAAAAAAAAAAAAAGGTTTGACTGATATTGTTAAGAAAAAACGGCAAACATGTTTTAACAGAGAGGAACTGCCATAACACAACAACACATCATCAAATCATATGTGCTCCTATATACACTGTAAGTATAATATTCATCCATGTCCCTGCTTCAGATTGTACCTGAACACAGGAAAAAGGTTCCTGCTGTCATCTCCTCTGTAGTTATAAATAATCAGGCTGTTGAGGCCGTACATTAATGTAGGTACCTGGATACCATTGTTGATGACTAACTGACATTCCAGCTTCTGGTGCTGTCTGAAAAAAGCTCACCAGCGGGTGCATTTTCTCAGGATGCTTTCAGAATTATAACCTCGACAACACTTTTATGAAGACGTTTTATTCTGGTTTCATAAATTCAGTTTTAACTTTCACCATGGCCACTTGGTTCAGGTCACTCAGCATAAAGAATGAGAATGTTATTAAACTGTGTGGAATAATTGCAGGTTCTACCCTCACTGACCTAACAACCTTGTACAAAGTAAAGACTTTGAAAAGGCCCCAGTCAATCCTGGCTGATCGCAGTCATCCTTTGTTCAAGGAGTTTAAGTTGCTTCAGTGTGTAGTCAGCCTGCCAGCATGCAGGACAAAGAGAATTAAAAAAAAAAAATTGTTCCTGCTGCCATAGCCTTTTTAAATCACTAAATGTATTGCTTTTTAACCGGTTTTTATCTTTTGTATCTACAGTTTGGTGCATTGGACTTTGACTTCTTAGTGTTTGTTGATGTTGTATGTTGATTGTTGGCCCATCAACACCTCAGAGATGATGTACACGTCCCTGAATGCTAGTAGACATTCCCAGCTCTCACCATTTGTATGTATGTTTTTACTGCTGACTGCAAGACAAATTGCACTCTCACAGGGATATTGAAGACAAACTTGAACGGCACTGAAAGCAGAGGAGTTGTGAGAATTTGTGTTGGATGTCTGGAGTCTAGGCAGGCCGGTAATCGAATGAGAAACAACAACGACCATCAACACTAGCGATGTGCCGTTGATTGACGTCACACACACCCCACACTAACCTCTCTCACAAAAAAAAAAAGTGTTGCTCTTTCTTCATTATCAAAAATAAATAAATAAAAATAAATCTCAAGTGCTTTGAGGTAAAATAATTCATAGCACACACCAAGTTATTTTTGTAGTACATGCAACATATCTGTGCCACTGTACAGCCCTGATATATGGTAAGTAAACAAACATTTTTCATGAGAGTGTTGTCCTAATTGTCCAGTCTGGGCCTCACACGGTCTTTAGCATCGTTAGCTAACCAGCGGTGACATACATGCCAGATGTTGGCGCCTTCTGCCACGATAAGTTAACTCTGCTGGTCCTCAATAAGAGAACTCCGTTGGATTTTGTGACATTAGCGCATCGCTCAGGCGCTTATGCTGACTCGCACACTCGCTCTCATGAGTCTTGTATGGAGATACTGAGAAGTCTAAGGGACATATGAAACCTTGACGCCATCAAGTTTTCTTATCACTGACCCCCCTTTTGTGTTGCTATTACCTGCTCTTTACCATTGCTTTTCATGAAGGGTGACTAGGAGCAAACATAAGAAAAATCTGAGGGTGGAAGTGCCACTTTTTCTGTTCTATGTTCGCCTCTTTGTTTGGCCTTTACATTTTCATTATTGTCCTCATAAAGTATACTGGTTTGGTGTACAGCAAAAAGACTTAAGAAGACCTCGAGAAAATTGACATAAGAGTTGAATCTACTCAAGTGCTCACTGTTGACTAGTCACAAGCTTCCACGCTAGCTTGTCAAGGTCAACTTCAGCTGTTTGACTGTGGATGGAGTACTTGACTTTCCTGCAACACAACCAGACAATTGTAAACCAGTCCAACCATGTGTGTGGTGATGTGTGCAAAAGAAAAGGCCCTGGTGGGGATGTATTGGGGGCGCAGCTGCCCTTCTGGCAGTTATACACTATTTCTGCTTTGCTGCGAAAAAAAAAAAAAGGCTGAAGGTTGGTAAAGGTCAACACCTTAACTTCCTCTCTCCTTCACAAGGCAGAGGGGGTCTGCCATCTCATAAGGCACACTCTGTAATTTCTGCCAGATTGCCAGCCAATTAAAGGTTATCAGAGCTCAAAATAATAGTCCTGCAGGGAAGCTCTCCAGATAGGCCCCATCTAAATATATATTGCCTCACCACCTTTTACAAGTGTCTGGGATCCAAGCAGTGAGGAGGAGGCAGACTAGCTCCTGCACTGGAGTTTGTTGATAAGCCATGTGGGAAAGGACATATACAACACTGGAGGGGAATTTTGGTTCAGTTTTTCATCATTATTCTTTTCTTTCCAAAGAAGGATAGACCTCTGGGTTAAAGCTTGGAAAGATAAGTTTGAATGCTGCCCTCTTCCTGCACATGTTCACACACACACACACAATCTGCGACTTCATTATAATGAAATCAAATCTTTTATTTGCCGTTTACACCCCCTACTTTGGATATAAAACGGGAAACAACAAACAGCAGGACTGCTTTAGTGCTTCACACAAGGACAGTGTGGAAAAGAAACAGTGCGATTGAGGCTCCAGCTGCCCAGTGATGCATTTTCACCTCAGATACACCCGCCCTCCTTTTAATTAATGCTTTCAGAGAGAAGACCAACAGAAATAGAATGAAACAAACAAAAAAAAAAAAAAAACAAGTAGCCTTTAGAAAGCTCATCAATTATGTTTTTAAGACAAAGGCAAGAGGAAAGAGGGCGGAGTTGGGAAGACTTTGCAAAGGCTTGTCCTTCATAATCCATTATAAGAAGATGAATGAGGGTCCACATGAGGATGAGGAGACAGACTTGTGCCGAAAAACACATCATACCTGCTTTAAAATGGGGTCGCCGAGCTATCTGCCAGACAGTGGGATTTAAAAATTGCCTTTTCATGTGAACCTGTGGAGAATGTCTGTCTCTCTTTGACACAAACACACTAGTGCACATATTTATCAAGGGGTAAAAATAAGTGTGTGTGTGTGTGTGTGTGTGTGTGTGCCAGTAGAAAAAAACGTACACACTACACAAAACATCAGTCTTACCTGGATGAGTGATTCGCTCAGTCTTTCCTCGTCTACCTCCAGCACAATGTCCCGGATCTCTTCATAAGGCAGGCGGAACGAGCCCAAGAAAATTGCTGTTGTGATGGAGAGAGAAGAGAGTCATTTCCTCAACCTTTTTTTTTTTTTTTTTTTTTATTAGACCGCAGGGTTCAAAGAGACATTTCAGCACTCATCGCTCCTCAAACAAAATGACCACAGACCTAACTTGTCACTTGGAAAAAAACAAATACAGTCTGTGCCCTTCAACAGGATAGTGTGTGTGTCACCCTGATGAGAACTGGGAAGGGGAACGTCAAGATTGTACAGGAACAGGGAAAAAAGCCAAAGTAACACTACTTCAGTTAAAAAGGTTAAAAGGTTAAAAAAAAAGATTTAAAAAAAACAGGTATTTAAGATGTTTATTAGTTGTACTGCTTGTGCCAGTAATTGTGCCGTATTGGATGGCTACAATGTTTTGTTTAGGCGGATACAAAGAGGTACACTGAACCGCCTCAGGGGACAGCCTAGTGGGTGTTTCACTCTCCAGGTGGGGTGCCCACAGTGGAAATTGGAGCTGATGGTGTATCCAGGTGGAAGTCACAGGTGGATGTTTGGTAATGAGTTGGAGGAGCGTGAATCAACAGCTGCTATAATGCTGCAGTAGTGGGACCTGATGTCTGTATCTGATTCACAACAAACAGAGAGATGGTGCATCTTGATTTTCTCTCTTCTTCACAGTCTCACTATTTATGAAAGAGACTCTTGACTCCAATTACAGTACTCACTTCAAAGCCATGATATATAATGTGTTGTTTGTTTTTTTACGCACTTTACATCAACCTTTCTGGTTTCACTGTGACACATATCTAGTGTCTCTTGACTCTGAATTGAAGAGAAAGTTTTGCTATCTGTTTTAACGTGTTGGGGAAATTCTGTAAGTAACCTATATATTTTTTTTTTTCTGAATTAGCATTACCACGTCAATGGGGGTTTATTTGCATCAAAGACTGCATGTTTGTTGTTTAACGTCATACATTTTGCTAGCTTGTCATCAATTTGTCCTACATATCCTCCTCATATGAAAGCAACAGCTGGGTACAAGGTTCTCTGGGGGGTGGGCTGTCATAAGTAATCACAGGGAGTAAAGTACAAACTGAGGTGGATACAAAAAAAGTAAGACAGGGACGAGTTTTGAAGCTGCAACTTTTACCGCTACAGTAAGAGTACTTCAAGGAGCTATTGTATCCCCCTGTATGTCCTCTCTAAGTGATGGATGTGTTCAACCCTGAACCTGTTTGCATCCCTACCTGAATGAGCCACGATGAGTGAAGGGTTGCAGGTGTGTTAATGAAGCACCATTCCTTTTTTTTTCCACCACATGACAAATGAATTACTGAGATTTTGCTCAGCTACAGTGACCTATATTTTGTGGCAGGGGCTGGTTTGGTTGAGAGGACATTAACATGTGACTGCCATGTGTAAACTGTATGCTCAATAATGATTTACTTTAGGTAGCTATGCCAGGAATCATATTGATATGGAAATTGTTTCTAATATCAGAGAGCTGCCATGGGATGTCACTGTGCTCATGATCTGTAAAAACGTGAACTTAAATGAAAAGTAATTCCAATAATATATGCCCAGCCCAAGTTTGAATATGATATCATTAAAAAAATAAAATAAACAAATCGTATTCCATATAAATGCAAGTTAATATATTTTAAGAGCATTTCTGCATGACTTAATAAATAAGCCGACATTCCTGCTCGGGTTGTTCTCGGTCTGTTTTGAACTTTTGGTAGACACTTCTGCCTGAACTTTTTGGGAAGTATCCTTTTGTGAACTCACAAGATTTAAAATAATTTTAAGCCTACTGTCAAGTGATTCTCATCTCTTGAACTTTGTAGAAATAAAACACTGCTGATACCTATGTACAATACTGTTTTGACCTAAAAGAATAAGCAAGCAGCTTCCTTTATACCAGTGTAGCACCAAAACCTCAAGCAAATTAATGATTTACAGATTTCTTATGATGCAAGTCTTTAATGCTTTTTTTTTGCTTTTTTCATTTGCATTCAATAAAAAAAAGACCACTCTAATATGTTTGTGTATTTTGAAAAATAGGTTGCTGTGAAGAACTGGGCTCTTCTTGCAGATCCATTTTTATGCTCCTTAGCTGTGTGAATCAAGTAATTGATAATGATTAACGGGTTGTCCCTCTCAGCTTTTAAGAGCAGCATGTTAGAAGTTTGACCTCCTTAAAGTGTCTTTTCATTTTACTGAGTCTGCATGCCCTTCTTCTTTTCATTCAGGAGTTACTGCTTTGTCCAATGAAATAAAGAAAACTGCTGCCGATTTTCCGTTTAATGTTCCTGTGCTTTGATAACCAAGTGACTGGGGTAATAAAGTCATCCAGAAAGTAGGATCATATAATCATAATGTATTTTACCCACTTCTAAGCTTGTATCTTATCTATCTGTAATTCTCTATATTCAGAGCCTAGTCACTAGTCAAAGGCTCATCTCCAGCTTATTGTAAAGGCTACCGGTAGGTTTGACAGCAGACAAATAGGGAGACATATTTTATCAGATCGTATGCACGATTGTGGTACCTGAATACATAAAGCTACGCTAACATAACAATCAATCGTTTTGCCCCAGTTGTTACATACATCAGAATTGAAAGGGGAGCCTAGAGGGTTCTTCAGCAGGCTGTGAATGTGATCTATGACACATTAGGATGTTGTCAGGGTGACTCGTGGGAGCTGTGTTGCGGTGTAAGACCACATGCCTCCCACCCAGTGCCATTCTGGAGGTGAGATTTTCTACACTTATTTCTGCTTCCTGCCAAATTCCGAAGCCCGTCTGTTGGTGCTGTAATCGAAGATGGCAGTGACACCTATCAACATTGTCACAGTCCGTACACTGTCAATGACATGAGTGCGCTGGCACACACTCAAAATATGCAAACATGTGTGCACATACACACCCACCCACACCACCCACACACACACACACACACACAAAAACAAATCCACACATGAGGACGCTTCAATGTGTTATCCTTATGTTCATGCCATATGCCCCTTCTGACATCAGACCCCAATATTTTGCCTGGTGAACTCATTCATCTGGCCGCTGTTCACGTAAGATGCAAGAATGAGAAGCCATGATGCATCAATGTGAGATATACGGGAAGGAAATTGGTTGGAAGGCACATAAAACTGTTAATGGTTCTTTGACGTGCTGGAACACCTTTGGTTATTTACATTCTCGTTTGATTCCAACTCGTCCACCTATGAATGTACTCATACTACTATTATTATAAGGAATGGTGAGAAAACATGGTAGAGGTGATATGTAATCTTGGCATCTGGCATGTTTATTCCTTGAGGTGTTATCATCTACATTGTGTCCCCGAGGTAAGGAATATCAAGGCTGCAGATTGAATCCAAAAGACTTTCTCTACCCCTCCAATCAACACAATATTGCCAACACTGCAGCCCTTCAATTTGTTTGTGAATTCATGCACACGTTTTATGGATTTGGGATCAAGGAGGTTCATATGGAAGAGACAAGGTGGAGGGGTCAGGCTGTTAGTGAAATTCTAAGGCAGAAGGTTTTAGAGACAATTTGCATCTAACCTGAAATGACACCCAGACAAAATATCTTTCCATCCACCTTGCCAAAATCAAGGAAAGAGGGAGAGGTGGTACAAGTTGTATTAAACAGTCAGTCAACTTAGACTCCTGGGGATTCAGAACGCCTACACATAGCTTTAGAGCTCAGTTCTGATAGGAATTTCTTTTACACATTATTACAGACAAAGAGCTCGGACAGAATCTATATGCACTCGTGGTGACCGCTTACCAACAGCCAAGAAAACATTTCCCCAAAGGGCTCAGGAAAAACATCATCACTGCTGAGAGCTTTTTACCGTTTTGCTTTCCCCATCAGCTGAACAATGTCGTTTGAGGGAACACTCCTCGGGTTTCAGAGAAAATAACACTGACATTCCTGATATAAAAAGTCATAGTTAAAAAGAACATAGTACTTCATGAACAAACTGTGTTAAACATGTCTTTACTGGCTGTAATACGCGCTAAAAATCTAAAAAGTTTATACTCACAAAGATTCTGCGCTGTTTTGGAGTCCAAGATGCGAAGCTCTTTGGCCTTTTTCTTGAATTGTTGCATTCTGTCGTCGGTCTCGTCTTTGACATCTTTTTTCACTGCAGGACGAAAAACAGAGCTTTCAGAAATAAACCATCAGCATGTCGGTAAATTACATGGAATGTATATATTCATGATATTTAACCAAACTGTGACACAGACTGCTCAAACTCTGCAGGGTATAAAAGCAATAATTACATGATATCCAAAATGTATACTTTCTGTCAACGTTTCTCATCAGAAAGTAAAGGACATTAAAAAAACATTAGAATGCAAATACATTTATGTATGCCGAAGTGTAAGATGACAGGCAAGTATGGGAACGACAGCAACAGATGGCATTAACCAATTAATAACCATAGTTTTCACATAGGAAAAAATAAGCATTTCTTTCAATAATTTACACAAGCTTCCTCTACAAAAATGAAAAAAACAAATGCATACTCTGCACTGCATTTCCTTACATATTTGATCAGCTATTTAACAGATCACCTTAGTTATTGCTCCTACATTCAGCACAGCAATCTGAATTATAACACTGAAAATGTGTCATGAACATTCTGATGTCTTAATGAATTTTATAAAAATCTGATAAATCACTACTCTCATAAACCACATTGGTACAACAAGCTGAACATCCAGATTAGAGATCATCCACCGACACATGGTGAAACCCTGGTTTGTTCAAAGGTGGATTTGATAGATGATGACCCATTTAAACATTATGTGGATTTCTAAAGCGCAATATCACCGGCTGTAGCTTCAGAGCACAGCCCTTTTCTGAGGTCTACCCCACTCTTCATTTGTTTTCCTGTGCCAACATTTCTGTCATTGTGACAGTGGGTAGATGGTTGATTAGCACCGGTTCCTTCCCTTAGGCCTTGGCTGTCAACTTGCAGCAGCCAAGGAGATAATTATGTTACCCCCCAAAATCCCATAAAATGGCATTAAGGCTCTGTTACATGACTGAGCACAAAAGACAAATTGGTCTGAGAATGAAGGGAACTTGGTTTTCATAATAGAGACATTATTGAGTCTGCACTCTGGGGAACCACCACATGTCGGCATGTATTATTCCTCACTCACACTTCAATAACACCAAGCCTTTAAAACACAAGTGTCCATGCACACGATACAAGTTCAACATTTTAAACTGTAATTACAGATTTAGAAGGGGTTAATGAGCTTTTTTTTTTTTTTTTTAAGAAAGAAGAAGCAGCACTGTTAGAGAGAAGATTTCTTAGCCCCTCCCAATGGCTTAACGGAGAGGTAGCACACTTTGTTGCTAATCATCACAACGGCTCTGTTTAGGCCCAAGGTGGGAGTCTCCCAGGAAATCTAGAACAAACAATCTGTTCCCTCAGCGCTGCCTTGCATATTTGAAGAAACAATCAAAGAGGCACCATCTCCTGGGCAGCCAGAAGAAGGAATGCTGAAGGCACCTGCTTCACTCGAGTGCTAGCTGTCAACAAATGACATCAGGGATGCAGTTGTTTACTGTATTAAGTTGTGCTTTAAAGGGTATAAGTGTGTACCAATGTTACAAACAGTATGAAGGTTTGATTTTTCATGAGGATGGGGTCTTTAGAGACTGACAAGCCCCAGCATTCTGACTACAATTCAGCTTAAACCCCATGAAAAAAACAGGCTGTTTGAGTTCAGTTCTCAGTGGGGCTAAGCGGTACATCAGCCAATGGCTGTATGTTTTCTTAGCAACAAAAGATCATGTTCACATGGTTAGATAAAGAAACAGACTCAGCGTGATTTACCACTTGTATGGCGTAATGTTTTTTCTCTAAACTTTCTCAAGGATAGGACTTCAACATTTCTTTTTTTCCTAAACTGTTTTTTTATTTGTATTAATACAAATCAATAAATTGTCATATCAGCACATTATAGAGGCTACAGTTTGTTACTACTGATCTCTAACAGTTGGAGAAATACAAACAGCTTATTTTGGCCTAAAAAAGATGAACTCATTGTGGCAAATAGTCCAAGTTTTTACATGAGCTGAAGGAAAATTACACAGCCTCCTAACTGCTTAATGAGCCTGTAATTCCATGCTTTCAAATTAAATACAAAAACTCACAAATTCTAGGATTTCCATTTTTTTTTTTTTTTTTGCCTTTTTGCTTTTGCACGATTGTCCTATTTATTTATTTTCCAGGTTCAGTGTCAGCAATTTTGTGGAAAAAAAGTCTACACAACCATCAAATGAGAGAGCCACAACTTAAATTGTATTCACTTATACACTATAAATAAATCCTATGACCACACCATTACAGCCTAAATATCATGACTTAAGTAAACTGAGTGAGTTACCAGAGCGGCCCATAGGAGTCATGCTGCATTTCTCATGCGGTAAGAGCTTTGGACAAAGAAACTGGAGAGCCAGCAAAAATAAAACATGAGGAAACAATGATCTCCCACTGAGAGGGCAAATTAAACCGAGGAGGGGATTCTGGCTGCTTTCCGTAGTAAGTAGTTCCTTTAACCCCCATTCTCTCTTTTCTCTCCAGCCACTTGAAACTCTCACCGGAGGACCTCACATGCTCAGAAGGGTTCTCTCGGCCCATTCGTCAGTGCCTCAGCTGTCTTCCCCCTCACCTCCAGGGTCCTATACTATCTTAAGTTAAACAGAAATACAGTGTCTTTAATAATCTCAAACATGCACATTTCTATCTGATTCCACCTATACACCCCTTAGCTCTCCGCTGGGCGCTGACTAGTTGTGTTAGTTGGCTGATTCTTGCTACAGTATTTGTTGGCTGACTCAATTATGCCACATGTCGCATGTTTCCTCTGAGCGCTGCATGTAGACTGATGGGCCCTGGAGGGCTCGGGCACATTTCAAGCTGCCACACTAGTTGGAGTCCCAGGTGTGTGGAGAATATGACTATAGGTGGCATATTTCAGCCAGATGGTGGGCCACAATAATAAAGCAAGTTTAATAAAGTCTAGAAAACAACAGAAGTTGTCTGGCAGTTACCACCACAAGCTCCACAAACATCGAGATAAACTTGAACAAAAGTTTTTCTTTTTCCTCTATCTTAAAATAGGATTTTGGAGGCATGCCCATTTCCTTCTTTCTCTGCCAAGTACACATACAGTAAGCTGTCCAACTTCGTATGTCTACAACAGCTGATCAAAGTCTTTGCCAACACTTAAACGTGTTTTCGAGTTGCCCAGTGGCTAAAATGTAATTCTCTGACAACAATGCAATCCCTCTTGTTGTTTTATATTTGCGACTAGAATCCTCCAAGATATCCAACAGTACAGAGGCATGTCTTGGCAGCTCGCTGACTCTTAAGCCACTGTGTACAATGGTGGCATGAAGCCTTATGACAGAGATACAACAGTCAAAAGTTTTCATCACCCTGTATGACATTGGATGAATGAGGTGACTGACAGTTACAGGAATGTCGAGGGATTTTTTCTTGATAAACTCAGTCATTAAAATACCAGAGAAGATGAAGATATTAAAGATATTAGCAATGCTTCCTTTACTACAAACTATATTATCCAGAGGTGAACTTTGGCATGGTTGATTTGTGGCCTGGTTTACTGATAAGACAAATAACTGGCAGTCACTTTTGACCTGTTTTTGGTTGTGCAAAATTGACAAGAGAAATGTATAAAAATAAATGTTTAATCATCAGTATTTTAGGTTGATGTTCTGAAAACTAAGGAGGGTGAAAATAGATTAGTAGGAAAATGTCTTTCAAAACAATGTTTGAATAAAACACATAAAACATTCACCAGTGCCAACATAATCATGTGAAGAAAAGTCTCTGGTGGTTGTGTCTGTTACACATTCCATTAACTGAGGGGGAGTTCAAGCTCGCTCTGAGCCAAAAGGAGTCACCAAACAGATCATGCTTCCATTGAAAAATACTTGAATGTTTGAGCAAAAAAAAAAGAAAAAAGAATTGGCTTATTAAAGATGGCTTGGCAGCCATGTTAAGCCTTCTCTGTGGGCCTTGGACTGAGGTATACCCTTGGGAGGGTCTGTGATAACAAGAGTTCTCCAACACTTGGACATCCAGACTGTTTTCTGGCCCAGAATCCTCGTCCTGGTCGCTTTCCATGCGATATCTCCCTTAAGACGTCCATAAAACCCCGGGCATTACAAAGCTAAACACTACCACATGTTCACTTCCGGACACAGACCATCCAACTGAGCATACAACACAAAATAAGCGAGGCCTTGAAAGGAAATAAAAGGAACTGCAGATGACAGGTCTTTGACAAACATATTTACAATAAAGGCAAAGGAATATAGAGGAACAGACAATGTGGAGTCTGGTTCTCTACGAGGCAATTTATTCCCTCAAATGTGCAATCTGCCTGCAGATGTGTGTCCTGTCCTCCATCTCAGGGGCTCACACTGAGGATTGAGCCGCTGGAGTGCTGCCAGCCTGTCTAAAGGAGATGGATTCTGAGGAAGAGTCAGTGGCCTCAGCCCTTGCCACAGATCCACAGAAATACCAATTCCCAAAGAGAGTGTGTGAATATGCACAAATTGACCGGTGAAATACCCTTCAAAGTTCACTATATCTGCCATTTCATAGATATCGAACTGAAAACACCTTTCAAACCTGGTAGAAGTCAGGGGGGAACAACTCAAGCAAAACAAATAGGGGGACCGAGAGTGAATAAACAAGAAAAAAAAAGAAAATATATGAAGGTACCAGGGGGGGAAACAAAGGTGTGGCCGAGTGTCCACTGGTGAGATAAAGACTTGTGTTGGAGTAAAAAAAAAAAAAAAAAAAAAAAGGTGCCCGGCCCAGTCATAGCTGGAATAATGAGTGAGACTTTCAAAAAATGAAGAGTAAGCTCAAGATCTGAACGTACCAACTGAAGTGAAATCCAGCTGTGACCAATTTCTCCCACTGACGAAGGCTAAACAGAGGTGTCTCTCTTAACCGCAAAACCAATTTGCTCTATACCCACTCCTTCCAGCTATCTTGAATCTCAAAAAAGCATGCTCCCCCTGCAAAAAAAAGGCAGTGCCTCTCCTTTTGACTGCAAGACTTTAAATCATTTAGTTGGCTTTCAG